TGCGAAATGAGCATTTGCCTACGCCTGTATTACACGTACTGACATAACAAACTACTTCTGGAAGGGAAGCGAATTTGGGAGCCAGTTGTGCTCGGAAGCTGAAATTTTCTGGGAATATGATGATGTGTGCGAATTCAAGCAATCTCACTATGGCACGAATTCATGCATGCATAGACCGGCTCCACAACTGATTCCGATTTGAATAACGGAGGCAGTCCATCCCAGCTCTGTGGCTTTTAAATTTTAGCATAGGACCGTAACTTTCTAAGCTATACATTTTTTTTCCCTGAAAACTGCTTAATGCTCAGAAAGCATATTTCGAAACTACCTAAAACAACTAAAATGCTGTCTTAAATTCAGCTGCCAAATCAAACTTTTCAAATAACTTTTTATTAACAAGGACATAGCGTAACTTGTCAGCATGCCCGTAGAAATCTGTAAAATACATAACAGTTAGACAGGAAAAGCACAGGATACACCAAAACCAGAAAAATAAATAGTAATGTAAATGGACGATTGCACTGGAAGCTAGAAAAAAATAGTTCCGCACGCCAGCAAAGCAGCATTTTGGAGCTGAAACAGCACCAATTATACTGTAATCTCGATTTTCACGTGGTCATTCGTGAGATGCACCGTAAACAAAACATTATTTTCCCTTCATGAGACTACACGGGGACAAGAAACAAAATTTTAACTATGCAAAATTTCAACCATGCAAAATTTCAGCTTCCTAGCTTTTTCCGCTGCTGCACTGAATAATTTAGAGACGTCATAAAGGAGGCGAGGTCCTCAGGATAATGATTTTTGCACTACATCAACTAATCATCCAAAAAAGAGAATAAAAAGGAATGAAACAAGAAGGGGAGGGAAATTATGTGTTTTGGCATCAGCTCAACTGAAAGAACAAGAGGCTGGGATAATATGGGGGTGCTGTAAGTCGCTGCACATCGCTTATAGTATAAGTGCCTGAGAAAATCTATCTCCGTTCAAAAATTAACAAAAAGTTCCCCGCTGAAACTTCATCCAAAAAGGATGCGGAAAATGCCAATGTTACCAAAAAAATCCGGTTCTATACATTTTCCACAAATCGATCTTATTACCCAATGTAAAAGAGGCAAAATTCCGAAAATGTGCGTTCTGTAAAGCTATTGCCACACACAACGCATACGTTTAACTATGTTATTTATAGAAAATGAATAAACTTTAAGCATAAAAAGTCGAACAATAACACATACAATGAAGAAATCCCATATTAAAACAATGCTGGCTCATAATTAACAGACAGTGATTGTCCGTACCATGGGTTAACTCGCTCTTCATTCTCTCTTCTCTCTCACTCTCTCTGTTCTCTCCCTATTTTCTCATTCTTTCTCATACCCGCCTTGCAAATTAGTCACATGACTGTTCAGTACATGGCGGGCAGAAGGCTGTGCTGTTGATTCCTGCTCCTATCCGCACGCAAAGTTCGGTTTGTGTTTACAGCTAAGGGATGAAAAACAGACTATATCCTAACATATCCTCATACACGTGACACTCGGGCCAATCGCTTATCTCTTATTTTGCTACTTTTTGTCCCGGATCGATCAGTTACGGAGCACATCGTCCAATGAATCTCGGATAAAGACAGACATCACGAATGTGAGCGGTGTTGGTTAGCCAACAAATGAAACGCTCCAGACCGAGGCCGTAACCACCATGAGGGCAAGAGCCGTATTTCCGTTGATCGACATACCAGTAATACGGTGTCGGATCAATAGCAGCATTCTTAAAAGCGTCCAATAGCTGCGGCTCCTAAAATTTCAGCAAAATTATCCAAAAAAAAAAAAAATTGAAGATTTCCGAATAAATAAGATTCCACGAAGCTTTTCCCGAAAATAAAATATAAATTCCAGTTTCTAAGAAATACATAAAAAAAAGTAAGTGCCTAAGAAAAACAGTATTTCAGAAGAAAAAAGAAAATACCTTCCAGATTCTCATACTACCGCCGACGATCTCACCAACGCCGGGCATAAGCAGATCTACAGATTCCGTAACACCGTTATCAAGCGGATCACGAGACATATAAAATGCCTTAATTCCAGCCGGGAAGCGATTCAGTAAAATTGGCTGAAATTGTCAGAATTGGTCAAAAAATGGCGCTACTGAAATTAAGGAATTTAAAAAATAAATTTTTTTTCTCCTGATTCGCCGAAAAAACTCTGCATCTACGTCTTCTCCACAGATTCCACGGAGAGAAGCCGTAGAAAAACGTGCTGCAGAGAAGCAGTAGTTCATAATCAGTGAAGTAACTTTTTTCAATTTATCATT